ACATATTTATTACAATAATTTTATTTATTTAAGAAACTAAGGACGGTGCACATGGATTTTGTTTCATTATTTACTGGAATTCAGTGCAATCAGATTTGCCCAACCAACCAAATCTTGGCCCTCGATTTAGGTCATTGTATTAATAAAGTGGGCAAAGTTATGGAGGAAAGTTATAAGTAGCTAGTAGCGGTAACTGCTTGATGTCTCTTTCAAATCAGGCTTAACTCCTGATAACTTCATGGATATAGCCATATAGTTTTCTTTACAATATTATGTAAGTATGGTATTGCAATACATACACATTTATATTTGTAAATAAAGTAAACTGTAGTGTCCTTGCATTCAAGTTGATAATTCCAAGGTTATATCCCTTGAAGATTGTCTTCTTTTAGGAATCTTTTCATTTTCCCACTCTAGCTTTACGTCCAGGAATTTTCTGAATAGCCACTTACATGCCAGATCTGATTGTGTTGTCACCCAGCTATTCTGATATCTGTTTATGATCTCTAGAATTCCAAGAAGCATTAGTGTATCCTCTCCATGTTTATGGTTTGAACTGGACGGACTATTGGCTCTTTAGGCAGGTTCAACTGGTTTCCTACATATCATATTTCCCTGAAAATAAGACGGGGTCTTATTTTCTTTTGACTCCTGAACAAGTGCTTGGCCTTATTTTTGGGGAGTTCTTATTATTTTTGAAGTGCAGGAGGCGGTGAGCGTGGTCACCTCATGGCTGCTGCTGTGTTGCAATATTTTCAGAGAGGGCTTATTTTCCAGGAGGGTTTGTTTTAGCGCATGCACTCAAAAGCCTGATTGGGCTTTTATCCACAGAGGTCTTATTTTCAGGGAAACAGGGTAAAACAAATACTAAGATTATAAAACTAAAATGGACGATGAACCTTGGAAAATAACCTTGATAGAAAACTCCTTGTATTAGTATGTACATATAGACTAAATAAAATAAAATAGACCAAATAAAAGAGGAGGTGGAGTTGCACTATATATAAGAAATAATTACATCTCTATGAAAATAGAGCACAACAATGATGAGAACTATCTTGAATGCATTTGGGTCAATATTAAAGGTTGGGGGGGAGAGAAATGACATTGCCATAAGTCTATACTACAGGCTATCCAACCAAGCAGAGGAAGTATATGAACTTTTTGCTAGTCAGCTAACTAAGGTATGTAGGAAGCACACCACAATAGTAATGGGGGATTTTTAACTACCCTGACATCAACTGGGAAACAAACTCTGCATCAAGTGGAAGATCCAACAGGTTCCTAATAAACCTAGCAGACAACTTTGTTTCCCCAAAAGTAAAGAAGGGAACAAGGGGATCAGCCATATTTAGGCAAGAAAAACGAAATGCACAGGTACAATATAGGTGGTACCTTGCTCAATAGTAGTAACTGTGAGAGGGATCTTGGAGTTCTAGTGGACAATCATTTAAATATGAGCCAGCAGTGTGCAGCAGCTGCCAGAAAAGCCAACACAGTTCTAGGCTGCATAAACAGAGGGACAGAATCAAAATCATGTGAAGTGTTAATACCAGTTTATAATGCCTTGGTAAGGCCACACTTGGAATATTGCATTCAGTTTTAGTCACCACGATGCAGAAAAGTTGTGGAGACTCTAGAAAGAGTGCAGAGAAGGACAACAAAGATGATTAGGGGACTGGAGACTAAAACATATGAAGAACGGTTGCAGGAACTGGGTATGTCTAGTTTAATGAAAAGAAGAACTAGGGGAGACATGATAGCAGTGTTCCAATATCTCAGAGGTGCCACAAAGAAGAGGGAGTCAACTATTCTCCAAAGCACCTAGAAACTAATCAAGGAGAGAAGCAACTTAGAACTGAGGAGAAATTTCCTGACAGTTAGAACAATTAATCAGCGGAACAGCTTGCCTCCAGAAGCTGTGAATGCCCCAACACTGGAAGTCTTTAAGAAGATGTTGGATAGCCATTTGTCTGAAACGGTATAGGGTATCCTGCCTAGGCAGGGGATTGGACTAGAAGACCTCCAAGGTCCCTTCCAACTCTGCTATTGTATATAGACAGACTTCACAACTATTTGGGGTATATTGGCCTGTATTATTTTTTGATCAGAATTCCCAAATTATTCAGCGTGCAAAAAATAGAGGAGAATTTCACCACACCCTTAAAAGTGGGGGGGGGTTACCTCCCTACGGATTGTACCTCTTCCTCCAAACTGATTCCTCACAACTATCTTGAGTGCTATGTTATACTGAGGTGTCATGATGGAATCAAACTTATTCATTTACTAGATGATTGGTGTCATACAGTATTCAGAAGTGGATGCCTTTCAATGGCCAGAGTGGGGTCAGCTGAGTATAGATGCAATGGGAGTAAGATTAGGATTTTCTGGCTTTAGGGGGGCATTGGGAGGTATTCTTAAAAAAAACATTGTTAGGTTACATTACAGGTTCTGAGTATCTCAAAAATGAAAGGAAACTATGTCATCAGTTTTCAACAATAGTGGCCAATGGTGACTCTAATGAACAATGTGATTTTTAAAATTTGAGATGATTATATCATATAATAATTATTTTGCAATTTATAGAACAAATCATGACTAAGAAGTCCGAAATCTATGAATCTGAATGCAGAGCAAAGATTTAAACTTGGAACTTCCTAATCCTCATCTAATATCTAGTCATATATTTTTGCCTCGGGGAACACAAAGTGTCTTTTTCAAATCACACTAAAATCTTTCTGATACTGCAAACTGTGGCACTATAGATGTAATTCTTAACAGTAGTTCTGAAATTTTCCAAATCTGTGCAATATGCATGTATGAGACTTTGAAGACCATGCAAACCATACCAGCAGAAATTATTAATTGCAAATTAATTTTTAGAGCCTTGTTTGGGGGATAAAGGATAGATTCTGTTATTTAATTATTCATTTAAACAGTGTTGCTTGTTTTCTGATGATGTCTATATATGAATAAGCTGGCATTCATTCCTGTATTATTGGTTCACTCAAAACAGGAAGCCTAAACTTTGGTTTTTCAAGTACAATCCCTGAGTTACACAACACACTAAACAAATAACATTATGACTTAGCCACACTGTAAAACAGCCAGAAGCTAGATAGATATCATAGTTATGTCATACCACATAAGTTTACTTAACTGTGCTTTATTGAACAGACTAGAATAGACTGGATTAGTGTATAATAAGTCATAACTATGATTTACAAGCTATGGTGGTTATTTCTTTATTTGTTTGCTATGGCTTTCCATTCCAGCATATTTTGCAACATTTTGAAAAATAATAAAAACAATAATACAGCACAGACAGCCTGGACTAAAATAATCATGACCAGGGTTGGGATGACACCCATGGAAAAATATTTTATAATCCTCCATAATGATTTAGAGGTGTAAGAAAATAAACACTGCAAAAGATGAAGGGAGATACAGAAGAGCTACTATACGAAAAACAATGATTTGTGCCCTTCAAAAGAGCACCATTTAGCTGACTTGGCAACATATTTTTCATCTTTCCCAAACACTAACCCTACTAGCTGGTTGAGGGGAATTAATGTCACATATAGTTTGAGAACCCCAAGTTGGGGAAACCTGAGCTAGATTCCCTGAAACATTTCATAACTGAGGCAGGATAACTCAAAAGTGAAATCTCCACTGGCTGTATCCCCCAAAATGCATTCATGATTTCTATATAGTCTGTCCAATTCATGAAATCTGTGTCAAAATCTTGGAGGAAGGCAAAATATAATAATTTGTCCAAGCAAGAGAAGGGAAACTTTACATGCTTTATTAGCCGAGTGTTCAGGCGTTTAATTTAAATAACTTGCTTCTGTTCCAAACTAAGATAAGGGGCAAAATCAATTAGAAACATATAAGTTCCCCTGAAATAAATGGGAGTATAATCCTAAAGTTAAATTGAATCAAGATAACAGGGCTTGTGCTCAAACCCCATTTCAGTGGGATTATTTCTGCCTGATATGGTAAACATCCCAATCATCTGTGCCTATTGCTTGCAACACGAAAAAGGAAGAGGGAAAAAGGGCTTACCAAAGCACAGACCACATTCAGAAAGGAGAAACAAAAAGCAACTCTTAGAAAGCTGCTTAACTGGGTCAGATCCTCCATCCTTCTCAGAATCTTGGTGCCATCCAAAGTGGGGAAAAATATTTTTTTTTATTGTCCAGTTCAATGCTTTCTTGAAGGAAAGGGAAAGTATTCTTCAGCACATAAATCCAAACTGAAGCCCCATGGATCTAGCAATGTTGGCATGCAAGTTCATTTCTTCATCTACAGATTAAACTTCTTCAGCAGCCTTCTTCAGCAAAGAAACAGATGGTGCTGAGGCTGCTGCTTAATTATGTTCAATGTTCCCTTTGCTTCGTGATTTAGCCTGCCCTCTCTGCTTATTTGGGGTGTATTTATGACTTCTCCTGTCAGCCACTCCTTTTCTGCACGAGAAAGAGACAGAGAGTAGGTAAAGAGTTTCACTGTGCTGGAAAGGGAAAACCACCCACCCAAGCTGAATCCTCGGTCCTTCTCTCTTAGCCTTTGCAAGTGTTTGGCTGGCTAGCTGGCTTTTCCCTTTCCAATCCAATGAAGCTCTTTACTTACTCTCTACCTCTTTCTCATATGCACTCAGGAAAAAAAAAGAATTGCTACGTGGGGTTTAGAATTAGAGGCAGAGGTTTCTGCCTGTTGATATGTGAAATGCGATGGAGATGCGCTTCAGCCGAATGTCTATGGGGATTCTCAATCATCCGAGTCATGGTTATCCCAAAACAATTGGACTTTCTTGTTTTTTTTTCTTTGAAAACATTTTGCTTCTCATCCAAGAAGCTTCTTCCATTCCAGAAAATGAAGATATTTCTTGGATGAGAAGTTAAATATATGAAAAAACCAAGAAATTGGTTTTTGGGAAAAGCACTTTTGGAATGTACTTCACCCTTTCCAAATTCCAGAAATCATTGGATTACAAAGCCCATCTCTCCAGGCATCCCAGCCAGAATACAGCAATGATAGATATAGTCTAGTAAAGGCTCAAGTTCAGAAAAGGCAATATTAAATACAGTGTAACTGTAACATTATGAAGCTATGGTCTGCTTAAATGTTAACTGAGGTCCTTCAGTTATTCATGTTCTAACAGTCACTCACACATGTGAACGATTGCAATGCACTCTATAAAACCACTCAGAAGCAGCAGCTGGTGCCAAATGCAGCAATGCAGGGAATTATGGACATGTCATAATATGCCTCTGTTTCGTGAGCTTCACTGGTTAGCATCTGGCTGCTGGATACAATTCAGGATCCTGGTTATCATCTATAAAGTTCACCATGATGGGGACCTAGCTCTCTGATTGGACAGCTGCCCTCTATCACTTCTACCCATCCTGTACAATTGGACAGAACTGCCATGCTTTGGACCGCATTAATTAAATGAAGTCATCTGAAGGAACACAGGAAGGGCACCTTCTCTTTTGCAGAGCCTTCTTCCTGGAACAGCATTGACCCATAGATCCATGCAGTCTGTACCTTGTTTAAATGCAGTCTTGGCTAGAGTGTGTGGTGGGCATCTTATACGATTTTTTTCTGTTCAAATTATGTGTTTTATTGCTCTACCAGAACATTTACCATTCTTCTTTAACTGTTATATTATTTTGAACAGTTTAATATTGCATGCCTATTGTGGGAGTATTCAGTGGGCTTAGAAATGTGACAAATAAATAAATATTGTTTGAATAAGTTACAAGTAGTTGGACCATATTACATGCTAAGTCTGAAATAAATCTGATCATATTTCAGTGTGTTGTGCGAACACAACCTCAGAGTCACACCTGCTATCTTGACCCCAGAAATGTCTAATCTCTTTTTATCATTCTTGATGTCACTCAGTCCAATATTCCTGGTCTGAAAACGGTCCAATGAAAAACACCAATCTTTTCTGCCTTTTTACTGCTTCTAGCAAAAAGTAGCAGTAAATGTGTTGAATGTGTTCCCTATGGACCACTACTCATAAACAGGTCAGCCCTTATTCATCTAAGGATCCATTTGTCCTTTTATGAATGCCTGGTTTTAAAGATTTGAAAAGTCCAGAACTCCTTTATCCAACACCTCAGAAAAAATACACACAACTCAGTGGTGAAATTCAATTTTTTTTTACTACCAGTTCTGTGGGCTTAGCAGGGGAAGGATACTGCAAAATCCCCATTGCCTCCCCACTCCTGGGGGAAGGATATTGCAAAATCTTCATTCCCACCTCACTCATGAGCCAGCCAGAGGTGATATTTGCTGGTTCTCTGAACTACTCAAAATTTCCGCTACAGAACCTGTCGGAACCTGCTGAATTCACCTGCTGATGCAACTCCTGAACTAAAATAATACATATGCGTTCTTTTGATCTCATATTTTACATTTTTGTTTTATGTGTTCCCTTGATCATATCTAGAATGATTTTGTTGTTGGGTTTGGTTTCTTAAAATGTTGGTCTTCATTTCCTAGCCAGTGCCTCTTTATTTGTTACCTCAGAGTAATACTGAAAGTAATAATAATGATAATTATTATAATCGATTTCTAATACATTTTAATAAAACTCTGATTTCTTCCATTTGCATGTACTTGGATCTTATAATATTCACCTACAGCCTTATTCTCACTAAGCTACTCTTCTACTGAATTCAGTGTGATTGTCTTTCTAGGGAAATATGCCCATTACTGAAATGAACCATTCCAAAATGATTTGCTTGAGCTCTCTCTCCCTCCTCCAGCTTCCCTTTCCCAGATGGCCCATGACCTTAGCTTAGAATCAGGCTGTTGGTTCTAATTGCAACCCCCTTATTCCCAAGCATTTATTACCCCAAATCCATGCTGCAAACTTTCCTTCACCAAATTAAGTCAGGCCCACCAACACTCTGGAATGAGCTGCCCCCGGAGCGGAGCTTCGTATAATCCCTGACCTCCGGTCCTTCCAATGCGCCATAAAAAGTTGGCTTTTCCAGCAAGCCAGCCTGGCCTGAACAAAATAAAATAAATGATTGATTATTGTTAATTTTAATCAATTTTTAATGTTATTGTTAATCTTAATTGAGTTTGTTCTTGGATACTCTATCTAATTTTTTTTAACTTTTATAATATGTAGTTTTTTTAATGTTGTATGCACCCTGAGTCCTTAGGAGAAGGGCAGCATATAAATCCAATAAACCAAACCAACCAACCAAACCACAAAACTGGATTTACTTCAATACAGTTTA